GCCTTATCTTGTTCCCAGGAAATAACTTGTCCTGCTGCTTCCTGTATTACTAAACCTCTGACAGACGTACACATCCAAGATATCAAAAATAGTTGGGATAAGGCACTGCTAGCCAACAACCCATCCTAGCAAGAATAAGGGAAGAGAACATAGAACAATAGAGTTGGAAGGGACCTCAGAGGTCTTCTAGTCCAACCCCCTGCTTGAGAAGGAGACCCTGGCCTATACCATGTCAGACAAATGGTTGTCCAGTCTCTTTTGGAAAGCCTCCAGTGATGCAGCAACCATGCAGCACTTCAGAAATTATTTAAAACAGTTCCTTTAGTCCCCAAGGGAGTATAAACATAGCATGCATGTCCCTACAGTTCTTTAAAGCGACTGTGTCATTTCTTAGCATCTCATGACTGCTACCTAAGCTCTGAAAATGATACTGTTGTTTTAAGGAGTTGCTGTGGGGGTCCTTGGTGCTCTCTGGGTTGTTTGCTTGCAGAAGTTTCAAGTTAGGTAACACCTGGTTTGCTAGCACCGATGATGTTACCTCACCTAGTTGGGTAATGAAACATCTGGAAAAAAACAACCAAGCTCAGAGAGCACCCAGGACCCTACATCACAGCAAGTATTGATTCTGCTAAGCAATTACTGTTAAGTAAGGTAAGGCTCCAAAACTTTCATATCATGACACGAGGGTTCTTTGGCCGAGCTGATGCTACTATAATTCTTCTTAACAACAATCCCTCTTCCACTGGCTGTAATGACACCAGAGATAAGCATGCTATGCTGACACGATATAAACATGCTTCTCCTCAGAGAATCAAGCTGTCAGAGGTCCGAATCAACCGCAGGTGCCAAAATGCCAATGCCAGTTTGCAACACAGCAATAATGCAAAATACAAGGGGACTAAGGAAAAAGGAAGGGAATAACAGATCCCAGAGATTATTTTGTCCGATTCTGAACTTCGCTGCCTCCTCCCGCCACTATGAAGACTTTTACTTACCGGTGAGCAACTGACAGAGTTCAGCGAGTTTGCAAGGGGGAAGCAGGCAGAAATCAAGTGAGTTAGGAACAGCACCAAGGCAAGTAACTGCATCTCAGGTAGCCAAGCAATCACTCTTCTTGTGACTCATTACCAGCGTAATACAGATCCTTTGCTTCCCATGGCGCAACCTGCCTTTCCGCAGAATAAGTTTAAATCCTGCCTTGGTACACTATTTCCCGGTTTTTCCTTCCAAGGAATTGGTGTCTTCACAGCGTTTCCAACCTTTGGTGTTAGACCAGCAGGTGAAAGATCCAGTTAGCCAAAAATCTCTTCACAACCCACAGTAGCAAGAAGATCCGAAGAGCTGCCCAGGTCAGGAAAATACTTCCTAGCTTGGTTTGCCGAATCTGACTTCGTAAATAAATATCCTCCCTTTTTGCAATTACTACCAGGGTTACATCACAGGAAAATAAAGGCCAAGAGGTGGAGCAAGAATTTCCCCTGGAATCCAGGGGGATGTGCCAAAAAAACTAGGCTGAGTGCCAAACTGCCAGCAATGAGAGCCTAAAGCGTTTCAAATAAGACAGGAAACAAAATCACAGCCAAACGAAATCCCAAATTTCCCCAAGTGTCACCAGAGCAAATCCAGATATTATCCCTTTGGAAAATTTCGTATTTTGAGCTGGCAAAAAAATGAAGCTTTCAGATCTGGACAAAGACTGACAACATTTATGTATCAGGGTTTTGTTTTAGTCCCAGTTTACTGAACGAGTTGTCATGGTGGAAGGTCATACCACACACTAAGCCAACAAACAAAAGGAATCACACAGTGTGACTTGAAACTTACCTTAGCTTAGGAGAGATCCCATTTTCATGAAATAAAAAGAATGATAACATGCCATTTCAGGCAATTCATTGCTGCAGCTATGTGTTTTTAGGCAAAATAGAAGAAAGAAAATTGTATTCTCAGATTTGGTAAATAGCTAGGTAGCTATACGGTCATCCAAAGCAACTTTGTGGAAAACAGTAAGTACTTTTACAAGACCAGTAAACTTTGGGGGACTTTTTGCTGAAAATAAAAAACAAGTGAAAGGACGATTTATGGATTGAATGATTGAAAAAGTCTGAACAAGTTGCTGAAGGAATTTTTATATTATTGAGGGAGGAGGGACAAATTATGGATAATAAGTCCACAAGTCGATAAGTTTGTTCATAATTGTTAAAAAGGATTCAGAAGTTGCCTATTTCTCTTTCTTTATTTTTCTTTCTATTTTCTACTGTTTTGCTTTCTGCACTTTTTCTTCTTTTTCTCTCTCTCTTTTTATTTTTCCTTCTTTTCATGGTGCAGTTTACCTTCATGTTTGTCTTTTGCCTATGTAAAAATTCTCAATAAAAATTATATTTAAAAAAAATCCAAAGCAGCCATTTTGTGTGAGTGGCATGACTTGAAGTCAACGTTTCTAATGGGTCCTTTAGAATCAGAAGTTGCCAATTCCTGGCATAAATTCAGTAGAAAGACTTACCCAGTGATCCTATAGGACAGTGATTCCCATTCCCAACCTTGGTGGCTTGAAGATGTGTGGATTTCAACTCCCAAAATTTATCAGCCAGCAATTGAAGGATATACATGTTAAATTTGCCATGGTTGAGACATATTGTTTTCTTAATCAGATAATCAGAGTTGGAAGGGATCTTGTAGGGCATCTAGTCCAACCCTCCACCCAAGAGGGAGACCCTACACCATTTCTGACAAATGGCAGTCCAATCTCTTCTTGAAAGTCTCAAGTGATGGCACTCCCACAACTTCCAAAGGAAAAGCTGTTCCATTGGTTGATTGTTCTCACTGTCAGAAAGTTTCTCCTTATTTCCAGGTTGAATCTCTCCTTGTTCAGTTTCCATCCATTATTCCTTGTCTGGTCTACAGGCACTTTAGAAAATAGCTTGACCCCTTCCTCCCTGTGGCAGCCCCTCAAATATTGGAAGACCACTATCATGTCTCCCCTGGTCCTTCTCTTCACTAGACTAGCCAAGCCCATTTCCTGCAAGCATTCGTTGTATGTTTTAGCCTCCAGTCCCCTAATCATCCTGGTTGCTCTTCTCTGTACTATTTCTAGAGTCTCAACATCTTTTTTATAATGTGGTGACCAAAACTGGATGCAGTACTCTAGGTGTGGTCCTATTAAGGTTTTATAAAGTGGTATTAGTACTTCCCTTGATCTTGACTGTATCCCTCTGTTACTACAATTTAGGATTGCATTAGCTGTTTTTTTGGTGGCTGCTGCACACTGCTGGCTCCTATGTAGCTGGTTGTCCACTAAGACTCCAAGATCCCTCTCACAGTTACTGCTATTGAGCCTGGTTTCACCCAGTCTATATGTGCACTTTTGGTTTTTCTTGCCTAAGTGTAGGACTTTATTTTTCTCTACATTGAATTTCATTTTGTTGAATTTTCATATTGATATAGGGCCTGGATTAGACTTGTAAATCCTAGTCCTTGTGATAGAATTGGAGGGGGTTACAAATTTATGTGCACGGATTGACCTTTATTAATTATTAGCTAAAAAAGCAAAAATTCCTTTCACTTTCAAAATCAGTCAAAGGTAAGCCTTGATATGGAATAGTCCAAAGAACAAAAGGAGCCAGGAGATGACCAGCACTTTTTGATAAGAAATTCCAGCAGGTCACACTTCCCTACCACTAACTGTGCTCGCTTTGGAAACTTTTGCGCCAAGCGTCCTTTGTTCTATAACAGAACAAAGCAATTTCCTACCTTCGCGTGGCAGGTGTAAGTGAACCCAAAATGAAACCCAGCATTTCTTGGCACAACACTTATATAGTTGATAGTTGTGGAATGAAGCTGGTAGCTTCAGAAGATGTCCTCAACTTATGACCAGAATTGAGCCCAAAATGTATGTTGCTAAGGGAGAAATTTGTTTTGCCCCATTTTATGACTTTTCTTGTCACATTTGGTAAGGGAATCACTGCAGTTGTTAAATTAGTAACACCGTCGTTAAGTGAATCTGTTTTCCCTGTTGACTTTGCTTGTCAGAAGGTAGCAAAAGCTTGATCACATGATTCCCATGACGCTGCATCCATCGTAAATATGAATCAGTTGTCAAGTATCTGAATATAAATCACATGACCATGGGCATCCTGCAGTGGTCATAAGGGTGAAAAATAGTTATAAGTCACTTTTTTCAGTGCCTTTGTAACTTTGAATGGTCACTAAATGAACTGTTGTAAGACAAGGACTATCTGTAGTTTCATTTATTCATGTTGGACGAGTGAATTCAGCTCAGAACTGCCAAAAAATGCAGTCATGGTGTCAGGATTCCGGCAGTTACCCACATTTAAATCATGAGTCTCGAGCCAAATTTCCAAAACTTCAAAAGGATTTATTGAGAGTTAAACTGTCCGGCACTGCCTGGGTGGGGCCAACTCTGAGACACATAATTCATTGTCACCCTTGACCCTGGTTTCCCTCCACCCCCCTGGGTGTATCATAATTCATATTCTCCAATGAGACACATCCATAGCCAAGAGTCATCAATCATGTTCTCCAGTTAGAATTTTGCGTGGCAGAAACTCGTCACCTAGTTACTATCTTTGAAAAACTATTTATGGAATGCACTTTCACTTTCCAAGCTGCCACACTGCTCTTTCAAATCCCTTTCCCCCCTCCCTTTCTGTTGGCAGCTCTAAAAAGACCATAGAAATATTTTATGAGTTGACACATGACGTTTTTGCCTCATATGTCTGCTCTTGATGGTAGGGCCATAGGATTATCACCTTTTGCTTTTTTAAAAATGTGATTTTGTATTGCATATAGCAGACAAAAACAAGGAAATTGTGTGATTTCAGAAAAAAAAAATCTTTATGAACCCTTGTAGAGTTGTAATTGCAGGAATGTTCCAATCTCGGATGGCAAACCTCAGATAAAGAATGTTTCCAAGCAAATAAAACTCAGGTAAACAAAGTCACTAATCTAAAGGAGGATTAGAGAGAGG